TTCATGGCCTTTCTAATTTCAGTGTCCATCCATGGGAGTGACTTGTCCCTAACCTTAGCTTTTCTACATTTAATATGGTTTCCTAGTATATCTTTGAACATATTTTCCCACAAATAACCACTGTCCTCTATGTCCTCAACAGTATTGATAATATGCCATGGGGCTTTATCTAGATCCCCTTTCAACTTATCAACATCTAATGACTTTTGATTCTTGACGGAGATTATTTTAGGTTTTGGTTTACTCCTTATTACAGAAAATACTGCATATACAAGATGATGATCAGAACTACCCAGGTCAATTGAGCCAGCTATATTATGGCTAGCATGTAAGTTAGGACTAACAATGATCAGATCAATCAATGACTTGGAATTCGCAGTAACTCTTGTTGGATGCTTGATAACATTTGAATACCTAAAGCTGCTAAGTATCCTCTGTAACTTTTTACCAGACAGGACAGTTCTTGTTCATTATCACTAGGCGTATTAGAGTTGAAATCTCTATGCAATATAACGTTCTTCCTCTTAACCCAGATCTTATTCAACAAACTATATAAAGCATCAAAAGAGGTTGTTGAATTGGGAGGACAATGCAGAAAGCCAAGTAAAGACGATTGAGAACGTATTGTTTACATTAAACCAAACCGCTTCCAGGCCCTGGTCAATATTCTATTTAGAATCTTCACACACGTTTAAACTTTCTTGATAGTATATTACAAGTCCTCCTCCTTTTGAACATGGTCTATCTCTCCTTGCCAGACTAAAACCTGGTACCATATGAGCGTATTGTTTGATATTTCGTCCGTTAAATGAGTTTCAGTAAACCCTCGGACATCAAAGTTAACTTCTTTAGGCAGAGAGTGGATGTCATTTAACTTGTTGAAGAGGCCATTTACATTAATATGGCCGATCTTTAAATTCTTGTTTCCCAGAGTAGTTCTTAACTCCTTGTATACATCAGTGTCTGACTCTTGGTAATTAAGGTCAAACATAGGTTCGTCAACTTTTAAATTTCTTTGTGTGTTCAATAGACAAGTAGGACATGTCATTGTAAGATTTTGAGCTCACCTTTCCACACTTTATGTGGCACCACGATTTACACTTGTCACATTCAATAGCACGATGGTTTTGGGCTACATTTCTCTTGCAAACAGAGCATTAATCCATCGAAGTGAATGGTCCAGGGTTTAAAAAAAATATCTCCACTAGATACAATGTTCCATAGCTGGAATGTTGCGTCAGCATTTGGATAATAGCTTATTTTTAAACCATGGAACCTCCTTCGATGTAGATTTGACGGCAAGCCCACCTGAAGTCGTGTAAAAAGACTCAAATAATCCTCAATGAGTGATGTCTTCTTGGTTTCGTTTAAGTCACTCGATTGAGGTTCGAACAAAACATGTTCAGATACTGTCGATAGAGCCAGCAACACCGTAATTAAATGTCCAAAGAAATTACAGAAGACGGGCGCTTTACAGAGAACCGCTATCTTGTCGGCACGCAAATTGTAGACCAAACGCTGTAAAAAGCTGTATCATACGCCCATTCTAAGCAAGGAAGGCATCTGCCTTTCAAGCTAAATGATTTCCAGAGTTAAGGGTCTGCGCGTGGACCCTGAATGCCTTGGGAGAGAACGTTCTGACGCCATGCGGCGTCGCATTTCTACTTTTTCGGGAGGGTGGTTGATGATCTTTCTCAAGCAATCTCCAATGATGAGAGATGGATTTTGTTTCGTTTTCGTATGTAACAGAAGTATGAAACTAAGTTCAAGAAGGGCAAAACTCATGACATTCATCCGTCTGTTTTGGGCTAGTATCATTACCTCTAAAGAGGGCAAAGTAAACCTTACCTTTGTTTTCGTATCAGCCAGCTTGACATTTTATACATTTAGGGTCCTCAGAACTTTCGAGGGTTCGTAGTACCGCAAATTGCTCACTGGTTAATATGCGAGACTCGCATGTAATTCAGTTTTTCTATAACACTTTCTGTTTCCATTGTCCCATGATATTACAGGGACGCGGAGGATTTTTTTTTGCGACAACGGAGCATTTACGCGACCCCCCTTAAAGTACATAGTGTTTAATTTTGATCCCCCCATAACGACGGTGGAAGATTTTAAGCCCCCCCCCCCCCGTTATTCCCTTTCCTAAAAAGCCGGTGTTATTATCTGCTTCCTAACCCACATACCGACGAGTTGAAGTTTGAAGTTTTATAATAATGTCGTTGAGCAGAAATATGAATCTGTTATTTGCGGCAAAAGTAAAGTTCTGTGGGAAAAAAATCTTCTGAGAAACGAGAAGCTGGGAGTAGGTCAAAACAGCACAAAATTCATTGCAAGCGTGGATGGTTGCAAGAAGAGCGATGACATTGTCAAGTGTGAGCCCTGCTTGGCCACTGTAAATAACACTTTGAAATTCGCAGCAGGGTTGTTATCATTCATAAACAGCGAGCGAAAAGTCCTTTAAAGAGAAGACCATACTCCAAAAACCTTTGCAAGTGAGGAGTTGAAATATATTCAGGAAGTTCAAAAACGAGTAAAGGTACTCCAATAAGAATTTCAAGAAGTTTCAAATTTCCTGATTGCAACCCTAATAAACCTAAAAAGAAGGTTTCCATCTCGCATTGGGCAAGATCAGCAATCGCGCATAAAAAAAAAGACAAAATTAAATTAAGGAGAAGCGTTTACAACAGAGGGTGTACCTGCTTCTCGAAATAACTTACCTCAAGAGAGTGTGCTGGAAATGTGTTTGATGCGATCAAAAATAACAATAGTTCTAAATTGCAACCACCAATGCTGAGTTAGCCGGGAAATTGATCAGGCGTCTTCATTTCTACCCTCTTCTACGACCGCTAGAAAAAGGCGTTTTTAATTCCAAATATGGTTCGTAATATGCGGGTCTTAGAAGCCAGTTTAAACGAAAAAAGGTCTGAAGAGCCAAGCTCGGACAAGAATTCTGCTGATAAATCGGATGAGAAGGCAATCAAGGGTTAGCAGAGTCGGGGAATTCCAAGAGTCAGTGGAGGATCAAAAGTCTATAAATGGAGGAGTCCAAGAAACTGCCAAAGACGCTTTGGGGATCGAAGCAATCACACTAAACTAGACGCTTGTTGATATATGTATACATCTCTTACTTCTGTTGTACCTGTTCGTAATGACGGTGTACCGTCGCGTTCATTTATCGAACTTTCCCATTGCAGGGATACCTCTCTAAGACTCCAGAGAATTTGTAACATGTAACTTTCTGGACATTTAAAGTACAACAATTGATTATTTCATTTTATAAGATCGTGTCTGAACAAGAAACAAAACCAGAAAAAATCATCATCGATCCTACCGCTTCAAATATTTAGAAGAAGTCCCGTTCAATGGCTGGCACAAGGAAGATATTAAGAGAGAGAGGAATCTCGTGCGCGATTTTGGCATGCCGTTAGTGTAAATGTCGTGCGCGTACAAAGTCGTATCGTAGGCCTGTCGCAAGCTTCTTGCATGTGAATCGTGTAAATCGGCCTTACAGTACTATACCCCACATAGAAAACAAAGGCCCCCTAATATTAACGTATAGGGTTGCAAGACTACCAATAACCCTTCGCTGAAGCCCTCCCCCCTCCCTTATATTAAGACAAATCCTCAAAGCAAGTTGTCAGAATTAGATGATCTAATAGCTTCAGTCGGAGCCTGCTTCAGTCACTGCTCATGCTTTTTAGAAAACTCGCAATGGTCACAACCGCCCCCGCGCGCGTGAACCTAGGTCTTTCGAGAATAAGAAGAATCAGCGATACTGACTGCTTCCAAGTGTTATAAAAACCAGTACTTTAATAGGAAAAATAAAATCGTTGCTGAATCTAAAGGAAATCTAAAAATGACAATGAAAAAACTCAATGGAGAAAACATGTAGCGACTCAAGCTTTCTGGTGAGGCTAATGAGGATATGTTCAATTTTTAATCGGATGCAAAATTCAATTGGGCTGTGATTCTAAAAGTTAATTGAGAGCACTAACGCTCGACCTATTGTATTTATAAATTTTTGTCTTGCATTATAAAGCTTTTGGTATATCTTTACATATCTTTTATGATTTTTACTTATATTACCTCCACAGGGAAACATGAAGAAAAACCTTTTTAACTGAGGAGAGACAAACAACATCCACTATCAAATTGAACCGAAAATTACAAAATTCTGGATGAACAATAGATTTAAAAGTGCCATAATATCCTTGAAATATCTACTTAACTTAATGACAGGACATGACTGAAAACGAGCAAGTCGTAGTGCCCTTTTTCCTTTTTTCAATCTGTGTATGGTTAGTGGATTGTGCTTCTTTGCGATCAAGCCCTTTTCAGCTGGTATGTCATCTAAATTTCAAAACTGATGGATAATTCAATGAGGAATGCCCTACTTCCCCTCTACATGCAATTCCTAGCAGTCAAAGAAAAGACAAAAACTCGATTTTTGTAAAGATTGGAAATTTATTTGTAGTTTGTGTAACTCGTGGACCAACCACGGGATACAGTTACAAAACGTTGTTTTGCTCGTTTTTTGTGCCATGCATTATTTCATTATAGCTCAGCTTCCAACGTGTTACAGTTTGTAACACCATGTGAAATATTATCAAAGCTCAATACAAAAGCTAAGTTTGGAGAGTACTTAGAATGATAGAGACGACAAGTCATTTGGCTTGTAAAAGACCCAATTCAAGTATGAAAAGAGGAACAGTTTCTGCCGACAAATTCTAACCTTCCTCTTGGTAAAAGGCTTGGCAACAGTGCACCCGACTGTGCAATGGATTATTTGCCTCTTCTTTTAAATAGTATTCAATCTTAAACCCGCATTCCAGGCGGATTCTGACAAAACCTATCATCAAAATGTCATCCTTAAAATCATAAAATATTATTTTTACAAAATTCAAAAAATAGATCACTTTGGAAAACAACTCTATAACTTATAATGTTGATATTTTAAATTTTATATACACCAATATGAAAAAGATATATACACCACATTTAATTACATATTATCTGGCATAATTAACAAAATACTTTACTTTACTTTACTTTACTTCACTTTCAGTGAGCGTCAACCATTAATATACCTCAATAGTATTACACAATTCACACAGAAAGAGAGTCCTTCCACGTATAACCAAGAAAATGAGGTTCCACTAAGTCACTTTCACTGTGTTGGCGGCTTGTTAATTTTCTCTTCGACAATTTATTTTCAATCGACTTTTGACAAACCCTTTGACTAACATGCGCTTTAATGGTCGACTTCTTACGACGTTCGAAGAAACAGTGCCCACAAGCCCACCAGAAATCCTCTTCGGCGCTCTTGTGTCCGTTTGCTTTACGGCGAGTGCTCCCAACCATACATCTTTTCCCAACCAACTTTAGAAGACCAGGATCCTCGGGTTGCTCCACAATATAGTGAATTGATGATTTGCTATTGTAATACTTTGAAACCTAGAAGAAGACCGTTAATCAATATTTTCTCCTCTGCAAGCAAATATTAATGGTATTGATTTAAAACACAATTCAATTAATTGAGTCAGTAGTTGAGACGAGTAGTAGGATTCGGAGCACAAGGCAATAACCATCAATGCCTTGAAGTCAGATGGAGAGGAAGAATGAAGAGAGCATGGCTCTATAGTTATGCCGCGCTGATCATAACATGTTTTGTCAAACAATGTGGACGCAAGCCAAAACACACAACGTCACTAAACACTAACCATCTTTCTATCTAAAGTGGTGTGATCTCTAAACAAAATTTTCCTGCCAGCCAAGGGTTCACAACCAGACTCGAGATCGGTCTCAAAACTGTCAGCAGGAAAGTGTCCCGATGTATTGTCGTCCTCCTTTGTAAAAGAGAAGGCGTCTAATTCTCCGCTCAAAGAACATGCCGCTTCATTTGAAAATTCTGTGGAAGGATAAAACCACTGTAAACTAAAATGACTATTTACAAATCTAATACCTCTAAAGTATTTTCAATACCAGCTCAGAAGACATATCGAAGTTAATACGATACTTCACCAGGAACCTTGGTGATAAATATATCAGATCAATTGCACACTCATGGAGATCACTGAGTACCAAGATTTTTATTTTCATTCACAGAGAGAACACCTTATGCTCATTGGAAGCTCATTACATAATTTATTACACCCATTTTGAAATCACTGATGGTCCCTGTAATCTGATTGGCACTAATTGGTGCGATTTATTCACGAATCGCACCATTTTTGCTTTAAATGGCATCTTTTTCCCAGTCAATAAGCAGGCTACACTAAAAACAAAACAACCAAACAGATTTCAAGGCTTGTTTAAAGTAACCTATCAAATTGCAGGAAAATGAAAGACAAAGAGTATCATGTGGCAAATTTTGCATCTTCTGTTTCCAAAAAACTCTTATTTTTTTTCCCCCAGAAAATGGATGAATTTAATTTCAAACCGGCTCAGTACCGCATAAATAAAATATTTGACCAAGTCCTGTCTTTGGGCGTTTTCAAAATGGATGTAATAAAGTGGGAATTGAACCTCGTGTCGTGCAATTTTCGTCTGAAATCAAACTTGTGATTTTTAAATCGAACTCGCGCTGCGCGCTTGTTCAATTTTGAAGTCATGCGTATGATTTCAGCCCTAATAATATACATGAAAAAATTACTCAGTTCTGATTGGTTAAGATAAATGCAGTTTTCAGGTAATTCAGTGCAGAAGAGGGTTAATTCAGTGCAAAAGTAATAGCAAACCAGACATTCTAATTGGTCGATAATCAAAGATACTCACAGATAGCCAATCGAATGCGAGCCTTAGATGTCGCAACAAAATTTGAAAATTTGAAAAATTGCGAGCGAAACAATGGCCGGTGTTTTGAGTAGGTTTTCTTTCGCCACCGCAGCCGAAAAACAGCTCAACGAAAACACTGCTAAAAGCACTGCTTTTTGGTTGTCGGTTTGGAAAAAGGGGTGTTTAGAGAAGGGAATTGCCAAGGAAATCAAAAATTACGAGCCGACCCGGCTTAAAACTTTGCTCGAGCGATCTTACGCCGAAATTAAAAACAAACATGGTTAAACCTCGGAAACGACGATTCCATTTCATTGAAAGTAATTCGGACACAAACCGAACAATTCCTTGAACTGTTTAGCCGGACTTTAAACTTTTTTGCGCCTTAAAGATGTGAATATATCATTGTATATTATTGTTTTTATCGTACACGGTTGTTTTGACCAAACGCACGGTTTGAATAAATTATTTTTGCACTTGATGCGCGCGCTTTGCGTCTGCTTAATTATGATAAGCTATCTCGTATTTTTTCATGTATATTATTAACACGTAATCCTTATTTATTCCAAACTGCACTCGAAATCGTGTGATTACCTATACAAATTGCACTCCACTCAGTTCAATTACCATTATTATAACCATTACAAATTCCTTCAATATAATTGGTGCATTCGCAGCTTCATTTTTCACTAATCGTTTTGTACAGTTGTAATCGGACGGTGTAATCGGACAGTTGGCTGTAATCGGCAATTGAAGCAGCCAATCATACTAAGTCCACACAGCTAATCTAACAATCGCAAAAATTATCAAAACAACCATGGCAACAACCACTTATCCAAAGAAAAACTGTGGAATCTAGGTGTGTTCATTTTTTCGGAAATTGAAATGGTTATGATTAATTAGTAACAGGACTTCTTGTCGTCCAATTCTGTCTGTAATCATACTCGTGATTAACAAATCGGACTCCCGCTTTGCGGTCGTCCGATTTTGTAAATCACTTGTGTGATTACATACCGAATTGGACTCCACTCGAGCCCACTACCATTATTAAAGAAATAAAAAACACACCGAGTGCATTGTTGAGTTATATAGGCACGCGGGAATTTTTGTGAACACGAGAGAAGTGCGGAGAAGCACGAGCCTAAGGTGAGTGCTTCTCGCACTTCTCGAGTGTTCTTAAAAATTCCCAAGTGCTTATATAACTCAACAATGCTCGAGGAACAAGTTTTTTTATTTCTTTTATAAAATATATCGTAAATTGCGCGCGCTCATACCAATGACGTAGGCTGCGTGCATTATATCTCAACAGTGCACTCGTGTGACGTAAGGCACGAGCTTTATGGAAATATAATGAACTCGTTCTGACCAATCACGGCGCGCGCACTTCTTTGAGCATTTTATAAAAAAGCAAAGCTGAAAATCAAGCTGAGCAGATGATGAATTTATATGAAATTGGCGGCGCCCATGGATTCACCGAACATGCTTTTGTCCTACTGTACCTCCGCTGATACTCACAATATTTCAGTTTCGTATTCAGAGTTTGACCAAAGACCGTAATTATTGCCACCTCTGGAAACTAGATTGACAATTTTCGTTGGTTGCTTAAATTCAAGTAGTCAAATTATCAAACAATGGAAGGGCAACCTTCCCTATCACTAATTTACTTTTTTCTTTTTAATTTAAAAGTGTTAATATCGACTATCGTTGTTGAAGGAGATTATTCCAAAGTAGAAGCAATTTTTCAAATTAATTTCAATTTCTCAATTCCGATTCATCATTACCCATCCCTCACTTTCCATTTTTTCTTCAACCTTCGCCCATTCCCCATTTTTCGTATGAATGTCATGATTTATGCACGAACAGACCTGTTTGTTGGCGCACACTCACTTCCTCACTCCTACATACAAGAAAACGTAGTTGCTAGAGCACTATGCAGTGCACTAACCGCAAAAAGGTAATGAACAACGTTCAAATTCTGACACAGGGTGTCATAGAACAAAATTAAAGAAATCACAAAAAGCCAAACAGTAGCAGCTCGCACAAAGAATAATCGCAAATCAGCCTGACTTTAGTAAAGACAGTTATACCCTTGAGATCATCAAAAAGCAAAAAGCACGTTATCGATGTACCGAGCATATATTCTAACGTCTCCTGTTTCTGCAGAGTGTTTAAAAGCAAAATGTCTAAGTACCGAACACAATTCCTTACTCAGCCATCTCTCTCCTGTATCCTGTTATAAATGGATATTTTCAGGAGGAGGTTCCCCAACTTAGTTGTAAAGCTTGGTAGCCAGGGACTTCAGAAGGGTGTACCGCAAATGGATTTTTGTTCGTTCATTTCTGTTTTATGTTTTGGTATGTGTTTTTCGTTCTTTTTTCCGATTTTTCTTTCTTCTACCAGTTTTCTTGATACTTAGCCTGACGTTTAAAATTTGAAACAAAAAGGCAACATGGAAACTACGAAAACGAAAAGAATAACAGGATGGAGAGAAAACGAAATAAGAAAGGAGGTTTAAGAGGATATTCATAAAAATTACAATTTCCTCGATTGTGACTGGTTAGAAAAAACTCCTATTTCACACTACTTCACTAACTAAGTTGTTATCGGACAGTTTGCATAATAAATATCAAGAAAAGTAGCTGAAAACAATTATTTCACCACAAGGGAACAAATTCATTACGTGTGGAGCTTCTCATAGTTCCTTATCATTTCCACCAATGCTTTTAATTCATACAAATGACATCACTTCAGCTGGTAAACCATAATTCGCACTGTTCTACATGACACCAGTACATTCCGTAAAAAATTTAAATCTTATACAGTTACTTCAAACAACTAACAACCACTTAAGTAGCTCGTCTTCATGGTTTTAGGCTAAAGGGTTATTACTTAAAGTAACCAAAAATAAACAAATGAATGAAACATCAAAATAGAAGACATATGATAAATAAGGTGAGGCATTGTTAGTTTATAGGAGTATTGATTGATGAAAATTAAACTTGGATGACAACACGTCTAGTAACCTCAAGAATTCTCAAGAACATTTGGCCATTACTTGTTCACAAATGCTATTAATAGCTCATAACTATTATACTTAATATATCTTTACAACACACAAGAAGATAAGAGCAAAATAAAAAAGGTCATTGCTTTTTTTAAAAGCTAATTAAAGTCCATGTTACACATTTACCCCTGGATTGTGCTTCTGATCATCAACAACAGAAAAATAAGACTTTGCACATGCCCATACCACACACTTAGGAGCACCCATAAAGAACCATTGTTACGTAGCAAAAATGTGTTATGGTTCTATCTTATATCTGCATAGTTTGAACGATTTCCTTTAAAGACTTACACTTTTATAAAGGAAGATAACCACTTGCATACACAAACAAAAAAATAACATTTAACCAACCTTGTTTTATTCCACTAAAGGGTCTATCAGGAACATCTCTGCTGTCACTTGGCCAACCGAATTTTCGAAATAACCTTTGTACATTTCCACAGCTGGGCAAATCTACAAGAGAAATTGTTGGTTATTAGTACCTAAAAAAGCTCGTAGGATATTCGAAGTTGATATGACGGACGTCCAACGAAAATTTAATCAATCTCCACTTCCTTTTGGCAAATGATTACCTTCTTTTAGTTTAAAAGTTTATGCAAATAGAACCGAGTACCAATGCTCCATTTTCAACTAAAACGTTGAGTTGAACCTTGAAACCATTTCTTAATATTTGGCCTGCATTTTGCCTGCGCAACAACAATCTTATTTCATCAGACAAGAGTCAGTTCGCCTTTCATCTTCCTTGCATTCATTAATGATAAAAAAATACCAACCTCCTTTCCCTTTTATCTTGTAACTTGCTTTGGTTGTAACTCTGAATGGCTCTGACTTAACTGTTCCTTTCAAGTCTGAACCAAACTCCATTTCTATCATCATTTCCCATTTGTTCCTTTCAATGACTTCTGCTTTCTCTAGCCAGTAGACTGGATCACCTCCCTGTGTCTTGTACACCGACCCAAGGTCTACTACAACGACTCGGAATCTGGCCTCACTCTGAACAACTTTTACATCAAGTTCCACTGGACCTACAAAAACAAATATATCAAATATCTCAAAATGCCGTCTTTTAAGTAGAGCACAGCGTGTCAAATGATGCTGATAAAAAATAACAAAGGCACCTAAAGAAAGTATAAAAATATGCATAGAATACCAATTGTATCATGAGTCCTCATCGCAGCCTCGTGACACCTTTGAGTGTAAGCTCGAATACTGGAGATTTCATCAGATGCTTGGACAATCACAGTTACTTCTGCGTCGTCCAAGCGATATTCAAATCCTTCTTTAGTTTTCTTCGTCTTTTTGTCGTAGACATCTTTGAGACCCACGATCTGAACTTCTACTTCAACTTCGCAAGCCCTCTTCGGGACACAATTTGTCTCGTTCTCTGCAAGATTTCAAGTTATCATCGCAGTTGAGATACGTTCGACCGACGAAATTTACTTACTTGTTTTTACATTATACCCCATTCACACCAAAGCTAAAACATGCTACAAAACTGTTTTGTGCGACCCGTTTTGAAAGTGCTTTCTTTATAAAATTCTTAAACTTAAGTCGATAAGGACAATAAACCGTTGGCCTCTTCTTGAGCATATTATCTGTATTGGTTAGCTGAGGACGTATAAGAACCTACGCACGTCTAGCACACACTAGGGAACGTGGCTCCCAGTATTGTAGTCTGGCCTTGTTCCCGAAAAGTTGGACGTACATGCAAAAATCGCTTTTCAAACTTGTATAAAAATTGCTTAAACTTAAGTCGATAAGGACAATAAACCGTCGGCCCCTTCTCGAGCATATTATCTGTATTGGTTGGCTGAATACGTATAAGAACCTACACACATTTAATAAACATTACGAACGTGGTTTCCGGTATTGTGATCTGGCCTTGTTTCCAAAAAGTTGGGGGTACATGCAAAAATCTCCTTTCAAACAAAAATTGTAGACTGCTTATTGAGCCTTGCCAAAGTTGTTGTAAAGTGCATTAGAGCACATTTACATGGAGAATACACGATATAAAAGCCGCATCATCATCAAGTTTTGTCGACTTCGAATTTAGCATGATAAAAATACACGTAAGTCAGTTTAGTTAAATCTTAACCAAAATTTTTAATTTTCTTCCGCTGATCTTCATTCATTTAAGCCTACTTTTCCTTAACGTGCTCCGCTGGTGTGAATGGGGCCTAAGACAGCTCACGTTAGCCTGAGATGGCGCCTGTTTGCAACTTAGATTAGTATTATGTAAATTTAAGACGTATCTGATCAGTTAGCAGAGTGTTGTTTGAGATCCGAATTTAAGCTTTTGACTTCTCAAAAAAAAGCCAATTTAGCAAAAAATCAGGAAGCAGAATATAAAAGGAGAGAAACTAAAGGCGGATGGCTTAACCGTGTAGATCGATCATTCCTTAAACCGCCTGCCGGTGATGAACAATGCCTTCGATACCCACGCATACAATTGCAACACCCAAATAAAGTTTCTGCTCACCTAATAATTCGTCCCCAGCTTCACGAAACAGGGAGCTTATGCTGTAAAGTTCTTCGACTGTAACTGACTCTGAGTTATGACTCACAGGAGGGAATCCCAGTTCAGACTGGATAAATTCGTCAATATCGCTGAGTCTTTCCTCCAAGGTTGTATCGATCTTCCGATCCATTTGGCAAAACTGAATGCTCTGTTGTTCTTGCAATACAGTGGTGATACGATTTAAAACTAAATTCTACTGAACTTCCCGTAGAAATTTTTAAGTAAGGCTCCCAGACAGAGGAAGTCACGCTTATCCAATAGTAAACATGCTTTACTTCCGATTCGAGGGGGGGGCGGGTATTTATGTTTCAATTGGCCTCTTACGCAAACTTTGTTGCGGCGGAAGAAAGCAAAACTCACCGGCGATTTACACGACAAAACTAGATGCGTGCATACGGTCATAAACACTTTTTCAAGTTACGAGAGTTACATTTTACGACTTTTAAGCTACGGTGCAGGACTGTGATGTTTGTGTTTTTCACACGCAGCGAAGAGAAATTCAAACAAACTGTTGAATGAAATATTCAAATATGCATTCTGTGTAACGAAAATGTGTTCACAGCAACGCGCATTTAAAATGAGTCTTACACGCAAAGAAAGAAAAAAAAATGGCAAGAACCGAGGAGTTACAGTCTAACACCTTCAATCTGTTGAGTTCATAAAGACACTTCGGAGGACCTATGAAATAACACTGCCAAGCGTTTGAAAATATCGTTAAGGAGACCGTTTAGAAGGGTATTATAATATTATTGTTGTATAGTCGGAACTGAGATTCTATTATCATCTTTGTCAAAATGAATTTCAAACTCCTTCTTCTTTGCTTTCGTCTATTAGATCTCCAGATCATATAGCAGGAACTCTTAAGTATAAAACTGGTATTCTGAACGACAGTTTCATCTATTTCAGGAAATGTTTATTGCGAAATGTTACATTCACATGATTCTTGTTTTGAAAGCCTTGACCCGCGATTGTGCAATCACAGAGAGGAAGTTAAGTAGTCACGCGACACTTCGGCCGGTAACAGTAAACGTTGTCACGATAGTACTTTGCTGAGTAACCTACACTACTGCAATTAATTTCTCTCGTAGATGTCACTGGAAATTTAGCGCGGCCTTCTTTTAAGACATGCATAAAGATAGCAAGAAAATCAATTACCAATTTAGCTTAAAAGCCGATTTGTCTTAATGAAAAGATGGAACCACAACTCGGAAAATATGAATCAATATCTACATATCGAGCGATGCCTCGATCAAAAAACCGCCAAACGACTAAGAAAATAAACATTGTCTGTGCACCAAAACCGATTATCATTGTGATATCGTTTAGGTGTGTCTGTTCTATTCTCGTTTCCTAATCCACAAGACGCCAAAACGCTATTGATGTGTCAAATTTCATTTAATTTTACTTTCTCAATTATCACCACTCAACTAATATTTCCTTTAAAGCCCTAGATAACCATCGATCTTTTGAGTGTTACACGATATGATTTTCCATAAACGAAGACTTAACTCACCAGTATTTCGAAATATTCTTGGGGAAGATGGGTTTTAAAAAATTGCGCTTTGTTTGAATGTGTGAGTAGGAACAACCAGCCCCCACAAGAGGGAGTGGTGTTTGAACAATGTTTACGTTTGAGAGTAAAGATGCGAGTGTCAAGATGCTGCTCCGTGACCTATGGTTTTGACTTACTGGTACCTATCTCTTCCTAAATATCTTCGCACTTCTTAACAGTCTTGCCTATGTAACTTTGCAAGAGATTTCTTAAATCCAACTCTAGTTTGCATATGATCGTAAAGATTGTCCCAGTCTTTCCGAATACAGGATTAAGCGAGGATCATACGATAGAAACGAGTTTGTGCATTAGCCTAGTTTCCGTAAGACCGCCCGGATCGCCGGTCCCAATCGTCAAAACTACAGCGATCTACGGAAATTGAGTCGCAAAGTAAGAATTAATCTTCCCTTCGTCTTCTCCAGTTAGCGTTCGAGCTAATAAGAGTACATGAATATTCTTGGCATTAAAAACACACAAACATATGCTTTACATACTTATGAATATAAATATCGTAATTAATAGTCCGGAAATCCGCAATCCAATATATCACAAAACAGGCAAGTTTTACACCGAGGGTTACAGTTTTAGCTCGGACGTTAAAGTATCGATAATAAATCTCCAGATGCGACCTAGGCCTTTTGCCAAAATACAACACAAGACCTTTACGAGCCATTGAACTTTCATCGAACCTTATATCCATCTATCGAATTTCTCAATGATTTCAGATTGAACTGTTTGAACTTCCTATCAGCAAAAACGTGCAAAGTTGACAGTATTTTTTTTTCAAACAGTAGATCACGTGACACCTTGAACCTTAGACATTACAAAGACTATCATAATTTTACTGACGAAGTGGAGAACCTACTTCGCAAACTGACACCACTAAAAACACAAATATTTTGAAATACAGCTGTGAGATTGGATTTTAATACTTTCAAAATGAAATATGGTGGATAAGAAAAAGATTTTGCCTTGTTTGCGAGTAAAATTAAAGTTAAAATTTATCAATTTTTTACGCGTAGCGACAAGTTTTCAGCCGTTTTGCAGCGAGCGGGCTTCGCTGAAAGCTCTTCATTACAAGGGACAGACAGTCTGGGTGAATTTAACTTAGAAATATGTTCTGAAGGTAGTTAAATGATTGGTGAATCGTTTTGCTGCCTGAAGAAGACTACACACTCGCTTGTTTTTGTAGGAAGTTAGTGATGACGTGATACGAACAAGAATCATGTCAATCACTTAGCATAATGGCCATCAAAATGTCACACAAAAATGTCACTGGTGTGTACAGTGTCACCAAATGAATAATACGCATTGAATAAAATCAGTAGTCCGTGAGAGGGAAGTTGACATTCAACAAAAAATAGAAACACTGTGTGACATTCTGAAGACTCGGTGACACTTGGTGTACTTGACACGTGAAATGCGTAAACATGATTGGGAGAACACGTGTCCCAAAACAAGGTTCAACCCTGGCTTCAAACAACCCGTATGGGCAGAGTCTACAATGGATTGTGTGCTGTTTGCCACGACACCTGGAAATTTTTAGCCCAAACTGGAATCCTCAACACCTCTTCCAGAAAAAAAAAAAAAAAGAGATCCATCCGCGCTTCTTTATCTCTACCCTATTTCTCTCTCTCGCTTTGTTCTCCCAGGTCACAACATGTTAATTAGTTAACTTTCGCTATCATTTCGACAAAACTAAAGCGGAAGTGAGTAAAGGTACTTTCCCAGAAATATACCAGTATGATGGACGAGAAACCTACGCCTGTTGAGAAAATTTCGCTTTAAATCTCAGAACCTTGACGATTTTCTCGGCCCCACATAAGTTTTAGCTGACCTCTGAGAAACGTATCAGCATTTCGAAACTCAGCCAAACCACACATCGTTCAAAAACTTTGTTTTCTTAGGCTTCGACAAGGATTTACATGTTGCGGGATACAATGAGTTGTGATTTAGAAAGCCGTTTAAAGGACTTAGAGGCAGTTCTGAACAGTGATCAAGGTAGGCATTTGGGGGGTTCAACTCCGATTTTCAAATTCAACGCTCAGTTCATTAGCTACTTTGCATAACAAGAGAATGTGAGCTTCGGCCTTTCCTTAGGATTTGTAAACGAATGTCAAGAAGTGATTTGAATTGGTCGGGAGCGTTTATCAAGAGTAGGAGTGAAAGGAGAGCAAGGAACGCATAGATTACACAGTCAAAAACATATTACGGTACTAATAGAGAGCCATTCTCGATGAGCTGCTTAAAAATTTCGATGACGGAGTTGGCGAACCGAACATTGTTACTTTCACTACAGCAAATGAAAAGCTGTGGATATATGGATACTTCCGTTCTCAGACCTGTCTCGCTGACATCATGCCTTGTCCAGTAGAACTTCAGTTTTTGGTATTTAACTCTTTCTAATGTATCATTAGGGTTTGCTTTTCAATTAAATGCTTTTTAAAAAGAAAATTCCCGACATGTTCAGCATTGCAAGTTTTATTCAGCAAATCCTGGTAATAAATATACGTGTATGATGCTGAATTCATTACATACGATCGGTACAAGGGGCAAGAAAGCCAACATGCATAAATTTATCTGAGACTGATACAATTACTGTGTAACATATGTGTATGCATGGAGGTAGTTATATGTGCTCGTGAAAAGGTACATGAAAAAGACTTCAAGTGATTCCAAAGTAAGTCATCATTGAATTCTCCTCAATGATTGCTATCCTGTCTAGGAAATGTACCCGATGATTTTTTCACATTCAACCAACCACCATTACCTGATATTCAAGTTCAGTTGTTTGACCTAAAAGATGTCTATGACAAAGTTCAAACAAAGGTGCCAGGTATATCTGAACAACGCATAGAAAAAGGATGGGTTAATGGTGTTGCCTGGTCAGCTGGTCAAATAAATAGTATCACAGTACTAGTTCGACGCACTCCTGAGGCAGCAGCAAGAGTCAATGATACAGTAGGTTGGTAATATTACTGTATGGATAGTAAATTACCATTTATGAAATTCACAATGTATAACATAACATTATTTGACACTCAAGGATAATATATGAAAGCTGTCTACCATAATTCAGTAAAGGAGTGCATGAAAAAAGCCCTAGGCTACTAACACATGCACTTAGTAAAGCAAAAGGTAAATCTATCGGTAGAAAAAAGTTGATTGAGAATTACTCTAGCAACCCTTAAAATAAAAAGATTTGGAAAGCTTTGAATTTGAGCCCAATTGGATTGATTAATCACTAATTGGTAATAAACTTGTAGATTGTTTTCTCAGGCTTGTTAAGTGATAAGTACATTCATACTTACACAAGGAAGCAGTTACAACATCGGAAGTGCAAATTGTTTTAAAAGAAACAGGTCAAAACTATGCATCACATATGTAACTTGCTTATCATGTATTCAAAATAATCTCATACATAGACTTCCTAAATGCTAATTATCACCAGACCAGAAGGACAGATACGTGTATGACACAAACAGTGCATCTAGAATGTAATTTTGAAAACGTATCATTGAACATTTACCTTTCATTTTCCCATCCATTATATATTGCTTATCCAGGGTAAATAAACCCATAGAGAACAGAAACAGTGAAATACATACAAACATGCATAGTATACTTAATTTACAATCATAAATTGATTTAATTTCAACAGGGTCTGTGGAGCTAAAA